CTATACATTTCCCCATATTTCAAGTTTTAACCCCTTGACTGTCGCAACCTCCCAATCCTGAAGTGTCTCCTGGTGTTGCAAAATTTAAAAAAAAAAAAAAAATTCTTATGAAATAAGAATCTTTTCCCGATTGTAACGACACCAAAAAACACAAACTTTGATGGAAAACTGACGGAATTACACTCTCGTGAAGTTACCGACCTTGGCGATATTTACAAATCGGCGATTTCGCCCACTTTGAGCCCTATTTTTGGCTAATTCCATTGCTCCAGTCGACCAAACTCATTACCTGGAGTTTACCTGGAGAGAGTTCCGGGGGTCAACGCCCCCGCGGCCCAGTCTGTGACCAGGCCTCCTGGTGGATCAGAGCCTGATCAACCAGGCTGTTGCTGCTGGCTGCACGCAAAGCAACATACGAGCCACAGCCCGGCTGGTAAGGAACCGACTTTAGGTACTTGTTCAGTGCCAGCTTGAAGACTGCCAGGGGTCTGTTGGTAATCCCCCTTATGTATGCTGGGAGGCAGTTGAACAGTCTCGGGCCCCTGACACTAATTGTATGGTCTCTTAACGTGCTAGTGACACCCCTGCTTTTCATTGGGGGGATGTTGCATCGTCTGCCAAGTCTTTTGCTTTCATAGCGAGTGATTTTCGTGTGCAAGTTCGGTACTAGTCCCTCTAGGATTTTCCAGGTGTATATAATCATGTATCTCTCCCGCCTGCGTTCCAGGGAATACAGGTTTAGGAACCTCAAGCGCTCCCAGTAATTGAGGTGTTTTATCTCCGTTATGCGTGCCGTGAAGGTTCTCTGTACATACAAGAAACTGCCCATTTACCAATTTCAACTACCCAATAACGTGGTCAGAAATTTGCAATTTGGCCAATTTAACGAAAATTAAAAAATATGACGATTTCAAAATAAGGTCCAGAATGAACAATGCAGACATTCCTGGCTCTAAAACAGCATTTTCTTTGTTCATCAGTCACGTCTCCAGGCCCCTCTGATATTACTCTTGCTTTCTATTTTTAATTTTTGTCAAAAAATAGAAAATTTACTGTTATGCAGATTACTGCAATACTGTAATACTTGTACAAATAATGTCAACCCATTCATGACTGCATATTAGAATGGCTAGTTGGACATTTATTGGAAAATGACATCATTTGTTTACTTTTGAACATCAGCAAAAATCAAACATTTCCCCTACTTTGAGCTCCATTTCCAGGTTCTTTTTATAGTAAAATCAATCAAAATCACCTCTATTTCTATAATATGTTTTCCATTCTATCAAATGAGACCAAGAAAATGAGAATACAACCATAAATACTATACGAAAATAGACCACAAAGTTGGCATTTTAATTAAAAACAAAACGGTCGGAGTTTATTTTTTCTCATTATGCACTGCATGCTCCAGGATTTTTTTTATATGGTGCACACTGACCACACAGACCCATTCTCTCACATGTGGGCCTACCAGCTTTCTCCTGCTTGATTTGAAGCCGCTAGAATTTATGAGTATATATACGTCAAACACGGTACCTCGTAAGACGTATATATACGACCTCGACAGTCAAAGGGTTAAAACACCTGAAATCAATCAAAATAATTTGGCATCAATAAACTGTAAAACATAATTATCACTGGTGTATTTATGCTGTTGCTGCCAACGAGTCATCACTTATCGCCAACTTTAACTTATCATAAAATCATTACTTATCCAGTTTTGTTCCTTTTTTTATTATACTTAGAAAAATTCTTTCAGACTAACATTTTCTTTTTCAAAATTCTGCAAAAGGAAATTTTACATCTGGGTATGCCACAATTTTAAGGGGTGTTCACTAATGATCAACTTTTTCTTTCATCACACCATCACCACTTATATTTGTAGACAACTATTTTTGGTTACATTTGGAATAAAGAAAAAATGCACAGCACATATACTGTATAATGTCTTGATGTAATTCACACAAAAAAGTCAATAGTATTGATCTCAGTTGACACATTTGCTATATATAAGAAATGAAACTGTAAAGCCCTACCTTTAAAATACCTTTGATGAGTTTTGCATTTTTCTACTTCAAGCCTGGCCTTAGACCAGCCCATTAAAATTTTGAACCCAGCCATATATAGTAGAACATCAGTAATACTGGGGCAAAGCTATATCCAGATTACAGCCTCTCCTCACTAAGTGATATACTCGCTTACTGACGCCTCAGACTTACGACGGGCTCTCACCAGTATGCATATCTATATAATGTATATTAGAGCTGATTTCCTCTGTTCTGTTTATTACAATATACAGTACACTACTGTATGAACATTTAAAAATATAAGAGAAATGTTATATATGGTGCAAAGGTCACATTAAAATTATCAAAGATAGTTGACACAAACCCACTACCATTATTGTATGCTCCTCACTTAGTGACAAATCTGTTCAATGATGTGGTCTTAGGAACAGAACTCTGTCATTAACTGTGGAGAGGCTGTATACTGTACTTAAAGGCAGAAGATTCAATTGTTGGCATCATAAAATCTGAAATTATCTTTTTCTGGATTCCTAGTTAGAAGTAATTTCCATTAAAAATTTACATGAAACTGATCAGTACGAACAGATGGTCTACTGTAATTAAACCCAAGAAATGAAACACGCAAAGCATTGCTCTGACAGACAAGCTTAAATATAGTACTATATACACACCATACATTAAATGCTGTACACCCACTGAAAAAGAATACTGAAGCACTTTCCTTGTGTGTCCTGCAATTCATTTACATAATATGGGATTTCACAAAAATGTGATGATCCTCAAAGAGGATATGAATATTGTTTTCAGTTTCTCCATGTGAAACTTTATGCCTGTCTGCACATGGTAAATGGTATACAAGTTGATCAGTTTCAGCAGTTGGAAACTGTTGTAGAATTGCATCTGTTTGTTGAGGTTAACCACAAATCACTAAACTTCTATGGGAGTTTCTCCGATTAACACCCTTCATATTAAATAAACTACAGTATGTGCCTAACAATATTTCAAGAAGTGAGACTGCTCTGAAGAGATTTGCCACATTTTCACATTAAGAAATAGTGTGTTTAACTCTTAATATTAGTAGTCACTTAATGTAATTGAAGATCATGTATAAGAAAAAAATGTGGGGAAAGAAGCAGTGAGCCACTACAATCATGTCATCTTTTCACCAGTCAACAATACACTGCAACACCTGAAGGTGACTTGCTAACCAACTTCTGACTCTCCATTATCTATCCTCTTTCCGTAACAACTCTTACCCTTCGGATTATGAAGTCAACTTATCCTCTACTTCTTTACATCTTAAATTTCTTTAATTTCATTAAAGAAATGCACATCACCAAAAACTAACTCTCAGAACCAACATAAATGCAAATAATGAAAAAAAGACGGCTAATGAAGATTTGCAGAAGGCAATAAATAAGTACAGTGTATCTTAAGAGCTAAAACAAAATGATTGCTAAATTCTTCTAAATTTTGCATCCAATGGTGTTAAAAATAAACCAGAAAAGGCAATTACACTCTTTTTATCCATAAATCATTTTTACACACTTTAACAATGACATTCATTAAACTTAACTGGTTAACTTATGAAATCCATTCTTTCCTTTGGGAGAAATAACACATTTATATGCACTTTCTCCAATTACTATTAGACATATAGAGGAGGTAATATGTGCTACACCTAGTGGAAACAAAAAATTATATGGAAAACACTGAATACTTAACTATCAACAGATAGTGAAATTTTTACTTCAAACAAATGAGTGTGGACAGAAAATTACTAAAGCTTATTAAGTGGCCCACCAGCCAAAATAATTGCCCATCCCTGCTTTAAAAACAAGCTTGCATTTTGATATAAATACCACTTATCAAATTCTTTTCATTCTCACACATTACTCATTTACTATCTTGTATCACACAGTCTCAATTCTTCATTATTTTACATCACATCTCACATCAGATATTCCCTATGAATAAAAATCATTTAATAATGATGTGGAGAAGCAGAGTAATGACTACAGTATGGAAATGTTAACCAGAAGTCCCAGGCTTGAAACTGCACTTAGGAAACAGTGAAAGTTGTAACTAGCAAAAGGCAGCACCTGAGACACGAGCACAAAGCTACCAGCTTATTGTAAACAAACCTACCTGGATAACTAACATCCTGCCGAGGAGGAATATCCACCAATCCTCACATGGTCTGATTATTTGTCATTCCAGTCCCACGTGGCTGACTCGCATAAAGGCCAAAGCTCGATGGTACGAGAAGGCGGTAAAGCCAAAATGGCTGCCACAAAAGTTCCCTAGCAGTAAAAAAATAATCCATCTTTACATTAAAATTATTAACCTTAACTGCCACTACTCCAATTCCTCTTCTATCTCTAACCTATTCAAAATAAATAATCTCCTTCATGAACTCAAAAGTGTGCAGCATATTGTCCACCTTTTTTTCAGTTATATATGTATCCCATAGGCATTTTTTCACATTGTTATAGTGAGACACTACAACACTGTCTCACACTGTTATAGTGAGAGACTTTAAAATTTCCATGCACCACTTAATTTTTAAATTTCCATGCAAAAGTACAGAACTCTGTGTTTAATGTCCATCTTCTTGAGTCTGCCAAAACTACACGAGTAAAAACAAATATCAATTAATATTTGGGAGCATATTACTATACCAGCACTACACTGACTCCATATTTCTGTTAGAAGTTTATATACACCACTGCTGTAAATGCTTGCTTTGGGGGCACATATTTGGTACTGTATGTATATACTGTAGGTACACACAGTAGTCTTCAATTAATATGGCAATCAGTACTTGAAGCTTAGCATCTATTACACACATTCTTGATAGTCTTCAGGCACTCTTCTTATTAATTATACCCTCTACAAGACAAGAAAACTAAAGTCAAGAATATAAACCTTAGTAAATGCAGATACTATATATACATGGTAGCTGCTCACCTCCGCCTTCCATGTCTTGGGTTAATGTGTCTGAGGCGTTGACTTCTGCGAGGACCTGGGCCTGAGGAGGAAGCTGCCGGAGATGCTGCACCTGACACAGATGACGAATCCTGAGTGATCACATCCCACATGTCATATGGCTCCATTTCAGTGTCGCTAGAACTGTCACTGTCTGAGTCCCGTGCTCTATCTAGTTCTTCAATGAAGCCACTATTACATCGTGGGCATACATAGTCCTGTAGAAGTACGGTATATTATATACAAGATAGCCAAATTAAAGCTTCAGTGTATCTTCAAAATATTTAATAAAATGGACCCAAGCAACTAATAAAACATGACCACAGTAGATGTTATTTTAGTGTTATATCTGTTTGTTTTCTTAACACATTGTCAGTAATCTTACTAATAATTCACCATCTTATCAGACACTGCAACATAATGGATATTTCAAGTTACTTTACTTGGACCCCATCTCTGTGACCCTTCTCAGTGCTGACAGTCTTCACACAAAGTTTTCTGACTAGCAGAAAAAATGACCCCTAGATCTACTACAATGCAACTCTCCAGATCCAGAACTTTAAATCTTTAAATCACACTACACCACACCCCACTGGGAAGACTGTTCCACGCATCTACAACTCTGTTAGAAAACCAGTACTTACCTATGTCCTTTCTAAATCTAAATTTATCCCTGACCTAGGGTCAGGGATCCCAAAAAACAGTCAATGACTGTTTTTTGGGTTATCCTAGATAATCTACACATATGCTGCTATGTACAATACTTTGTGCAACTATTTGTGTATCTGTACCTGAAAAAATTTACTTACCTTCAAGAACACCCAGTGCTTGAGACCTCACTTTATTTCATGCATAGTGTTGTTTGCACTAGCCTGACAATGCTCCTGAGCGTAATGCAATGGTAATAAATGTTTTAATAGTTTAACATGTACCCACCTGTATGTGGTTGCAGAGGTTAAGTCTTAGCTCCTGGTCATACCTTTTTAACCTGACATTTACTTACCTAATATCATTTAGGTTTAGGTTAGACTGTGTGTTTGACTAGTTTCACTAAATTTATATATACATCATATATGGGAGAGCTCTTCGCCAGGAAAAAAAAAATATCAAGAGACTTCTCCTGCCTGATCAGTGACTTGGTAAAGTCAGTGAAATCATTGGTATTAAATTAAATACATTATGTAAAATTTTACATAAATGTCAAAAAATTTCTTGGGTTTGTCTAAAATTTTATCAGCTACAAAATTCTGTTTTTGTTTCAGTTTGAATACAAGTGTTTTACAAACTTGAAGTCACACAATTTATAGAAATAAATTAACAGTGTTGTATTAATTAAGCACATGATTAAAGGAATACCATGGTGATAAATTCTTAAGACCTACATACTTAACAAAGCATAAGGCTTACTATATATGTTACAGGTGGGTAACGAGGGCAAAACACGTTCCAGGTAACGGAATTATTTAAGATAAAACAATATACCAACCGGAAATAAAACAAACTTGAATAATACGAGGTTAAAGGATACTAGACAAAACTTTCCCGTGAGCAAGATCTCCTGCCTCTGTAGCAGCCACAAGCTACCCATAATACTCACCATAGCCTCGCACAACTCTAAAGGAGCCACAATACTCACCGGAAGCTGCGGGGTAATCTCCACATTACATTTGTGACAGAAAAATCTGGCTGAAGACGAGGCAGTTTCCACACCTGCTTCCGCCATTTTCGTTGACTGTCGGAAAATAGCATTCATTACTGCTCCAATAATCCCTCTTTCCTTCACTCTCCCCGTATGTTACACTTAAAGTGTCTAATTCAGCCTAATAAAATATTATTCCATGTCTAAAAATTATTTTTGATTTTAAAGAAACTACGATTTAAAAACTACATATGTTACTCATCAAAAAAAATTATTTGTCCAATAAAAATATTAAAAATACAAAGAATACATTTTGACTGCTTTCGTATATTTGCATATTATGGTAATAAAGAAATTGCTACAGCCAAATATACATAAGTATACCAAAGAAAATATTTATATAGAAAATTTAAAATCGAATTTCACATAACAGCATTTTATATATGTAAAATTAAAATATACAAACTAAATAAAAATTAAATAATTTAAATTTGCACAGACTGACAAACATTTTAATAGTTAATCGAAGGTGGAGAGAAGGGAGATAAATACAGTACGCTGATAACCAAGGATAGAGTACATGAGAAAGGCAGATAACACAGTGGCTTACACTACACATCAAATATATCTGCTGGAAAGGACTAGCTACAGTCTGGCTACCTCTATATATGTCTAAATAGATGAGACGAGGATAGTGTAGCAGAAGATTCTCTCCCTGCACTCTCATGGTCTTCCTTAATGCTGACAGCTAAAAAAAACTTTGGTAAAAAAAATATATCACATTAATTAAAAGTGTATGGTCATTTGATAAGACATACCTGTAACTGGTCATAAGTGTTTTCCTAAATTGGCAACCTGGGATGAGGCAAGAATTTCCTGCTGATTGTTGGTCAACTAGGTTGTTTCTGCTAGCCTGTAGGCCCACATAGATGTCCCAACTTTGTAAACCTCTATGATGTTCCCTGGAAGTATGAGTATTATAAATGGTATACAGAACCAACAACTTGATGAGTAAGACACATGTGCAGCATTTAGGTATCTGTATTGCCGAAACGTTTCGTCTGTAGAGTAGGCTTCTTCATTTAGATACAGAAGATTTTAACACTGGAGACAGTAAAAGCACACAGGTAATTTGGAGGTGATCGATCCCTCAGTACTGACAAAAGATAGTCAGGGGTGTCACTAGCACGTTAAGAGACCATACAATAAGCGTCAGGGGCCCGAGACTGTTCAACTGCCTCCCAGCATACATAAGGGGGATTACCAACAGACCCCTGGCAGTCTTCAAGCTGGCACTGGACAAGCACCTGAAGTCGGTTCCTGATCAGCCGGGCTGTGGCTCGTACGTTGGTTTGCGTGCAGCCAGCAGTAACAGCCTGGTTGATCAGGCTCTGATCCACCAGGAGGCCTGGTCACAGACCGGGCCGCGGGGGCGTTGACCCCCGGAACTCTCTCCAGGTAAAGGAGAGGCATGATGCCAGAGACTTATTTCTAGAGCTAGAACTGAGGTGTAGCAGCTGGAAATGACATCATAGATAAGCGGGGACCATTATTGAAAGTCTCAAGTCTTGTGTTCATCAAACAGAGGATCAAGCCTTCTCAACTTATTGACTGGATGATTCACGTGGCTTTAGCATTTTCCACAATAAGAAATATTTTTTTGCAAATATTTTTTTATATTGTTTAAGAAACTGTTGTGGAAAATACTGATATATATTGGCATATGGAAAATTTAAAGGCTAGCTCGCAAAACTAAAACCCAGAATTGTTAATGCCTAAATGAATAATTGTGAAAAATTAAATTTAAATAAATTTTAAAAAGGGGTTTTCCCTCCTGAGCAAGGCCAAAAATTATGGCCCTATTTACCACATCCGGAGGAAAAGAAGGATTCTAAGAACCTCCTTTGAGGAGGTTTAAATTGTAGTGCCGAGAAACAAAATTGTACCTTGCTTAAATGACTTTTTGATACAGGCCCCGTCGTTGCGGAAAAATTGGAGAATTTATAAATTTTCAGAGTGAAGATTATTTTTTTTCGGCTGACATAAGTAAAGCTTTCCGGAGGGGGTTTTACAAGGGGCTACCGGGTTTGTACCCTTTTCCATGGCCTGAGAATCCTATGCCCCATTTAGCCCTCTAAAAACCTTTTGCTTTGGGAGCGTTTATTTGGGCTCACCCAGTCCTTTCCCTACTTCAAGCGACGAAATGCACCCCTTTTAAAAAGTAGAAAAGTCCTTTTGAGTAAAAAAATGAGCAAAAAATTTTATGTGGACATTTCTGGGTGTGACGTAAACTGAAGAGGAACTTTTTAATGCTTATGGGGGGTAATAAAAAAAAAAAGTGAAATACCCTTGGGGGAAATGAAATAGTAATTCGCCCAAAAATTAAAGGACAAAAAAGTAAAGTTCCCTGGAATAATGAAAAATTAGTATTATTGGGTTTAATTTGGGGATATTGGAAGATTTTTTAAATTTTAAAAAACTTAATAATTACGACCCCAGAAATTAACTAAGAGAGTTTTGTAAAGTAAAAGGACCCAAAGTGCAATTAATGTGACTTTTATTGTGGCAACTTTTCGCTTCCAGGGCTTTATAAACCCATTCCCCTTACCCATTCATTACTTAATGGCTTGATAAAGCCCTGGAGAGAAAAAACGTTCCCACAAAATGTCACTTTAATTGCCTTTTTCCTTTTTACTTTACTATTGTCGGTAATTTCCCAAACTTTTTCAAAAAGAATTTTTGCTGCGAAGTTTCCAAAGTTTTGATCCTAGGTTTGTGTCCCCCTTACTTAAGGGGAAATTTTAATTCGGGAACAAAAACTTAAGTGTTGGGATGAAATTCTCCCTGAGGTTTTTTTTAACAGGTGGGTGTTTAAATTTGGGTGTTAAAAAAAAAATTTCCTGTTGGGTTCCCGCCGGTTGGGCCAATCCAAATGGGAAAAATGTACTCCACTTTTTTGTATCTTAAAAAAAATTTGGGCATATGGGCGTTTTTCCCTTCATTAATAGTGTTTTTCTCTTGTTAGTCTGGCAAAGTGTCTCCAATTAAACACGTCCCTTGCCTCGTTGGAATAACAGCCATTTATGTAGGTGTCAAATTAGCTAATTAATAGAAAAAATTTGCGGAGGTAAATTTTAGCGACACTGTAATTTGTCTGATAATGAGGATCCCTTACAATGGATTCGCAAGGGAAAACAGCAAAATTTTGTACATAAAAAACAGGTCACTGAAATTTATCAATCCAAAAAAGATAACAGTTTGGGTCGCTAGTTAAAATTTAAACATATACCTGGGGGAGAACCAGTGATTTCTTTTCTCGAGGGTTTTCCTTATGCTAAATTGTAAATGCTGTATATGGGTTTTAAAGGGCCCAGCGGTTGGGAAATAAAGCTAAATGGCCTGTACAAAAGGGGTATATTGCTCCCGTTTAAATTCTGGCCACCGCTCCAATGTTGCCTTCCTTTGCCCTTGATATAAATTGGTAAATTTTTTTTACCCAAACTTAATGTAATAAATTGGGGTTTTTAATTTCTAAACAAGATGAAAATTTATATAAGTTTTCACATCCCCTTTTAAAAATTTGGGTAAAAGGGTCAGGGGGGAAATCTATGGAAATGAAATTTTAAATTTATGATGGAAAGAAAAAATTGTGAAAGGTTCCATAATAGAGAAATTGGGGCGGGATTTAAAAGACAGTTTAATTAGGGCAAGGAGGTTTCAAAATGCGATTGGTGATTAGCTAAAAAACCCTATCTTATGCCCAAAAAATCATCATCTAACAAATTTTATTGTTTTTAAAAGCCCATAAAAATGTAATGCATGGTGGGGTACAAGTACCTTAAAATTGTATTAGGGAAACTTTTTGGATTCCCAAAGGGCGGCAAAGTGAAAAAGGGTGATTTAAAAATTTTTGAAAAATGTCGCCGGTGCATGCCAGATCCCATATGTACCCAGGGCCTCCACCCTTGTCAAAGAGCAATTTGATCATTTAGCAACGAACTCCCCGGCCGGCCGCAGTGTGGAAAATACGTATATTTTCCTTAAATAAGGAAATTTTTTTGGTAAATAATGCCCTATATTTATTTTTAAAAAAAATTGTTATCGAAAAGGAGAAAACCCGCGTTTTGGGGGGGTCAATCCCATTTTTTTTTGGGTTACAAAAGTTTGGTAATGGGAAAATTTTTTTGTGCTTCTAGAGGTTAAAAATTGGGTGACATCTCTCAAAAGGAGGGAAATTGTTGGATGTGATTTTTGCATAACTTGAGAATCAGGCGACGGACAAGACAGCTCCAGGAACCTAGTAAGTCTTTTATAGTAACCTGGCCGTATTATTTTCATGGGAGCGTGAGGTTTTTTGAGTAGATACACATTAATTCCCCTCAAATTGGGATTTTTTGATATTAAGATATTCTCCTTCTGTTTGGTATGTGTATTTTTATATAATCCTTTTTTTTTAAATTTTTAAAATACAGTCCACAAATTTTTTATTTACCCGCATTCCCCGGGTTTTATATTTCTTTAATTAAAAGGGCCAGGCAATTGTGGTTTGAATTGGGAGGTATCGAAAGGGGGGCTTTTTTTCGACCTAGGTGTCCCCAAATTTTTTTTGTTAATTGATAATAATAATTACATGTTCATTTCGTTTTGTATAATGATACATTCAGATAAAAGCAAGTTTTCCCCAAATTAATGTTTAACAGACCTGGCTATTACCCATTTCTTTCTAACTGTGGATGGATCCGTGCCTTTCACTGGAGTATTAAAAACCCAAAGTGTGGAAGGGGAAACCCGGTCTCAAGTTTGGTTATGGAAGGAAGGAAACAGGACAAAACAAACGCCCCCGGGTGGGCTCTCAAGTATTTTCCAGGTACTGTATATGTATTATCATTACTCTCTCCTGCGTTCACAAGAGTTAATTCCAAGTGCACTGAAGCATTCCCACTAGTTTTGATGTTTTACTAGACAAATGTGCAGCTTTAAACTTTCCAGTTCTGATATATCCTCTGTTTTGAAAAGAAAAATATTGTGAGCACAGAACAGTACTCCAGAGGTGAAAGCAAAAGTAATTTGAATAATGCCATCATTTAAATGACAGATTTGACTTATTTTAAAATAGCAGTTCTCATGATCAGACCTGTCCTTTTTT